CCATGCCCAGCTAATTTTTTGTATTTTTAGTAGAGACGGGGTTTCACCATGTTGACCAGGATGGTCTCGATCTCTTGACCTCGTGATCCACCCGCCTTTGCCTCCCAAAGTGCTGGGATTACAGGCTTCAGCCACGGCGCCCGGCCGATTTTTATTTTTTTTTTGTAGAGTCTAGGTCTCATTTTGTTGTCCAGGCTGGTCTCAAGGGATCCTCCCACCTCAGCTTCCCAAACTGCACCCTCTTCTTGAGCAAACTCCCGCTTCATCCACCTCTGACCCACAGATCTGGCCAAGCCCTGGCTACCGGCTCCTGCAGTCTGGACCCCGGGGCTGCCTCTCCCCTAATATTCCAAGCATCTCCTGGCCCGGACAGGGATAGTATGCTCCCCACTTTATACTGCACGCACCCGAGCTCCAGTGAGGCCCGTTTTGGGCAGTAGTGCCATCAGCATCTTTGCAGGCATCTGACTCAAAACCTTGGTGCCGGGCTCACGCTGTGACTCCGCTGGGACGTCCTGAGTCACTGACAGTGTCGCTCCGCTCGCCATCCGTTCTCTGACCGCCGCCGGCTTTCCGCCCCCTGCCCGGCTCATCACCTCCGACTCCTGCCGTCCCCGGACAGCTCGGCCTGCTGTCAGGGGACGGCCATCTTCTCTGCTCTTCTCCGGCCGTAGGGCCACCCGCCTTCCTCCGGGTCGGTGTACTGCCGGTCCGACTCTCCTGGAGGCAGCTCCTAGCGGTCTCCAAAACCCGCTCCGGTCCTGCCGCCTTCACCGGCACCGCCAACCCTCCGGCCGGCCGCTGTTCTGGGCATGCGCGCCGGCGGTACAGCGCTGGGGGCGCGCCCTGTGCTCTGAGCATGCGCGCCGGCGGTACCTGTGCTCTGGGCATGCGCGCTGGCGGGACAGCGCTGGGGGCGCGCCCTGTGCTCTGGGCCTGCGCGCCGGCGGTACAGCCCTGGGGGCGCGCCCTGTGCTCTGGGCATGCGCGCCGGCCGTACGGCGTTGGGGGCGCGCCCTGTGATGTGGGCCTGCGTACCGGCGGTACAGCGCTGGGGGCGCGCCCTGTGCTCTGGGCATGCGCGCTGCCGCGGGTGTCGCTGGGACCGGAAGTGCGGGCGAGCGCCGGTCCCCGGGTCTGACAGGAGCCGCCTGCGGGCGCCGCGGCGGCAGCTGGAGGCGGGAGAGGGTCCGTAGCCGCGCCGCCCTGCCCAGCCATGGGCCTCCTGTCGGACCCGGTGCGTCGGCGCGCACTCGCCCGCCTCGTGCTGCGCCTCAACGCGCCTCTGTGGTGAGGGCAGGGCCCGGGGAGGCGGGGACCCGCGGGCCCTGGACTCGCGCCGCCGGCGGCCCCTCGCGCGGTCCCCATCGAGGGCCGCGGCCCCTCCGGCGGCTCGCGCCCCACCGCTCCTGCGCCCGGGAAGCACGGAGGGGGTCGCGCGCAGGCTCGGCTCTCCCGTCCGGCGTCCCGATGCCGGACCCCGGGTGCGGGTCTCAGACCCGCGCGGTCGACCCCGGGCGGGGAGGCTGTGGCCCCGGGACCCCCTGACGCTCCGTGCCCTCCGTCCCCTCCCGCAGCGTGCTGAGCTACCTGGCGGGCCTCGCCTGGTTCCTGGCGCTCGCTTTCCCGCCGCTGACCCAGCGCACTTACATGTCGGAGAACGCCATGGGCTCCACCATGGTGGAGGAGCAGTTCGCGGGCGGAGACCGCGCCCGGGCCTTCGCCCGGGACTTCGCCGCCCAGCGCAGGAAGTCGGGGTGAGCGGCGGGGCCGTGCGTGCGGCGCGGGCCGGGGCTGCCGCGGCCGGGGAGCGGCTCAGGGGCTCCGTTCGTGTCTGCAGGGCCCTGCCGGTGGCCTGGCTGGAACGCACGATGCGGTCCGTCGGGCTGGAGGTGTACGCGCAGCGCTTCTCCCGGAGACTGCCCTTCCCGGATGAGACCCACGAGCGCTATGTATTGGGGGAGCGGGGCGTGCCGGGGCCCGGAAAGCACCCTGGAGGGAGGGGTCTGGCTGGGTGTCACCGGGGGGGTGTCATGGGGCCGGGAAGCTCCGTGGGAGAGAAATCCCTGGGGGGCACTGGAGGGCTGGGAAAGCCGGGGCGGGAGCTTGGCCCCCTCCCGCAGGGTGACACTGAGGCTCTTCCCTCCGATGCTCCGCGCAGATGGTGTCAGGCACCAACGTGTACGGCATTCTGCGGGCCCCGCGCGCTGCCAGCACCGAGTCGCTTGTGCTCACCGTGCCCTGTGGCTCTGACTCTACCAACAGCCAGGCTGTGGGGCTGTTGTTGGCACTGGCTGCCCACTTCCGGGGTGAGGCTCGGGGCTGCTGGCCAGGGAGGGGTTTGGCCAGTGCCCCAGGCCCTGCTGATCCTGTTTCTGGCCTGCAGGGCAGATATACTGGGCCAAAGATATCATTTTCCTGGTAACAGAACATGACCTTCTGGGTACTGAGGCTTGGCTTGAAGCCTACCACGATGTCAATGTCACTGGTAGGTTTTCTTGTCCTGCCCTGGTTCCCCTCTCAGGGCCGCTGTCCTCACCAGATCCCCCATTGGCGTTCATTCACTTGCTCTTACAGGCATGCAGTCATCCCCCCTGCAGGGCCGAGCTGGGGCCATTCAGGCCGCTGTGGCCCTGGAGCTGAGCAGTGATATGGTCACAAGCCTCGATGTGGCTGTGGAGGGGCTCAACGGGCAGCTGCCCAACCTTGACCTGCTCAATCTCTTCCAAACCTTCTGCCAGAAAGGGGGCCTGCTGTGCACGCTTCAGGGCAAGGTGGGTTTGCCTGCCTGAGAGCTGGAGGGTACAGGGTCTGTAGGAGGGGCTGATCCTGTCCTACACATCTAAAGCTGCAGCCCCAGGACTGGACTTCGTTGGACGGACCACTGCAGGGCCTGCAGATGCTGCTGCTCATGGTTCTGCGGCAGGCCTCTGGCCGCCCCCATGGCTCCCATGGCCTCTTCCTGCGCTACCGTGTGGAGGCCCTAACCCTGCGTGGCATCAATAGTTTCCGCCAGTACAAGTATGACCTGGTGGCAGTGGGCAAGTAAGTAGTCTGGTCCCCCCTTTCCATGCCCAGGATGGTGTCCAGCTGGGGTGGAGTGGGGCATGGCCTGGTGGCTCTGGCCAGCCATGAACCTGCACCACACCTGACAGGGCTTTGGAGGGCATGTTCCGCAAGCTCAACCACCTCCTGGAGCGCCTGCACCAGTCCTTCTTCTTCTACCTGCTCCCTGCCCTCTCCCGCTTCGTCTCCATTGGCCTCTACATGCCCGCCGCCGGCTTCTTGCTCCTGGTCCTCGGTCTCAAGATATCCTCCGCCCCTTCACATCTACTTGTGGCAGAGCCTCCAGTTTCTTCAACTCTAGGCTGGGGAAAGTCCTCCATCTTGATGGGGGGTAGGGTATGGGTGAGCCCTGGGTCCCCTCTGGGCAGATCCCATCAAACCTCTTGTTGGGGTCCTTGATTGGGCTACGCTCTGGAACTGTGGATGCAGCTGCATGAAGCCGGAGTGGGCCTTGAGGAGCCCAGGGGGAGCCCTGGCCCCAGTGTC